CACACACGCACGCACTTGCTCAAATACACATCCACGCTTGCACACGCACGGACACACACACTCACACGCACGCACCACAACACGCGTAATAATATCGTCATGCGTCGTGCCTCAGGAGCAGGGACGAGAAATGTTGGGAATTCTCTTCAGGGATACTCTCACCGTGATCCGACTTGGGTTCTATTCTCAGAATTCGGAATTAAAGCTTGCTTTGTCTTTCTAATTATTAGATTCTATAATCCTGTTGATCATTTGATTACTCATGTTAAACGGTTTTTTAAAATTCGCGGAAGACGTTCTGATATCCGGGTATATATGAAATACACCAGTAACTTGAACTTTATCTTTAAAAAGTATTTTGTCATCTTATCTTCGAAATATCTTCATTCAATTGATCGCTGCAAAACTATTGATAACTTCTTATAATGGCAGCCTATAGTATTACATATTCTAAATTCAGATTTCGGAATTAAAGCTTTATCATTAAGCTTTCCTTCTCTTTCCAGTTATTAAGTTTCATAATCTTGCTAATTATTTGATTACAAATGTTAAACTTTTTTTTTAAATTCGCAGAATAGTCAGGTAAGCGATTTCATTATAGTAGTATATAGTATATGCACTAGTAACTATTAAACTTCATCTAAGCAATTTCTTTGGAGTGTATTTTATTTGCCATTTAATTATAGAAATCTCCACAATTAAATGGGGATGTATATTTCAATTATCGATAATTTATTACAATAATAGATGTACAACTGTAGCGTTAGCTAAAAGGATTCAACAAGCAAACTCTGCTTGGAATATAGATCTACATTCGAATACCAGAACAAAGCGATTGTCCTTTCCCTTTGATGTGACAATGGTGTAGAATAGGGCCCAAAACACTAATGCACTAGAAGCTACTTGAAGAGATCACGTACAATGAGCATGGAAACGGAATTGTATTTTACGCCATTTCTATACATCTGAAGGAAAGGCGTATCAGGAATGAAATGAATGTATCTCTTTGGAATTTTGCAACGAAATGAGGTGTAACTATTTGTAGGCAGATCAAATTATCAAAATAGTGGACTTCAAGCCTTTAAATTTACTCTTTAAACAAATCATTCAATTTCCAAAACACCATTCCATTCCTGAGGTTCGCACATGAAGGATTAATAATTAAAGGAAGGAGGGACATGAAATGGAAACAAACTAATTCCCAACAAAATGCTATTAAAATGCAAACACGACAGCACGTAAACATCAGGCACAAAAAATTCAAGCAACAACAGCAAACAACATGAACAAGTCCCAACAAATCATCGCATGCGACCGCACTCTGCGACTCGGCCGCGGCGCGTCTTTTACAACTGGCTCAGCGGCCGCCGTGCGTCGTCAATTAACTCGCAACTAATTACGCGTGTCTCCCCCCATCGCCGCATGTGGCATGCACACCAGAGAGAAGAGTTTCTTGTTGCAGTCTTCTATCTCCAATGTGCGACACCGTGACGTTTCGAAGGGCGAAATTTCTCAAAACAAATCATCGCGCGCGACCGTGCGACGCAACTCGCTCAACGGCCTCTCTGCGACGGTCAATTGACGCGTGGTTAATGATGCGTGTCGCCTCGTTGCAGCTGCATGTGGCATGCACACGAGAGAGAGAGAGAGAGAGAGAGAGAGAGAGAGAGAGAGAGAGAGAGAGAGAGAG